ACTTCAAGCTTTAATTTTAGAGGAACCTTCTTGTTTCTAAGCAGATATACTTGTGTGCATCTTTTGTACACTTCTAAGCCATAGAAAGAGTTGGGAAGAAAAACTTAAAAGCCTGAGCTCTACAGCAAATTCACAGATCCTGTTTAAGGCCTTTTGAAAATATCGTAACAAGCCATGGTTTGTCTTTCCAGCTGTATCTTAAATAAAATCATAAAGATGATAAATGAACTGAACCAGGATATGATCACAGGAAGATACCTCTGCTTTATGTTACTATGCAAAAACTGCATGGAATAGTGGAATAACTTCAAGAAAATATTTTAATAAAGATGAGCTTGACAGAAATGCAACTGCTTTGGGAAATAATTTATCCCATCGTAGCCAAGAATTTTTAGAATTAACTGAAATGTAAAACAAAAACTGTATCTTAAGAATTACTGTTTCCTGTTACCTGGAGACAGAGCGTGTTTTCCTTCTGCTATGGCAACAAGAACACGCGAAGAGTATCTCGATAACTTGGAGTTCTGCCACAAAGCAGTAGAGCTCTAAACCCAGTACGTGGATGCTGTCTTTCTGTTTGCAACTTTGAGCCTGAGTCTTAAAATAGTTTTGACCACCTCCCCGCCATTCTGACACACGCAGCCAACAGAGAGTGGCTTTAAAATGGACAGAAGTCTTTATGTATTCCAAATCCAGCACCAATTACTGCTATAGGAAGAGAGAGTTGTCAACAGCAATAAGGAAGTACTTTTGTTCTTTGAAAATGCTTGGTTTCTGTTGCTCAGACTTTCCATGTAATTGTTTGATTTCTTGGGTATCTCATCTCTCAAACGAATCAGCTCTGGGTTTTCTTTGTTTTCAGATTTTCACGTTTGCATTAGGCCATTTGTACAAGTTCTCATGAGGTACACCTTTCCAGTGTGGTTGCTTTTGCAGTCATGTTTTGAAACTCTCGGTGTATAGTTTTGCATTTTTCATTAAATGCGTATGCTAGACTTAGGGTGGGTGATGTGTGCGTACAAGAACATTGGTTCCAAGCTAGGTGTGAGATAGTATGACAACTCTGCTCCTGGGATGGGGCAGTCCTAAGCACAGATATAGACTGGATGGAGAATGGCATGAGGGAAGCCATCAGGAGAAGGATTTGGGGGTGTTGGTTGATGAAAGACTCAGCATGAGCCAGCAGTGTGCACTCACAGCCCAAGCTACCCATGTTCTTGGTTTCGTGAAGAGAAGCATGACCAGCAGGTTGAGGGAGGTGATTCTGGAGGTGCATTTTTAATCATGTAACCTGTTTGTTGAGGCTGTAATTCCATCATGTGTACCCACAAACAAGAGCAAATGAGTTGAGTGTTAACAACGCCACCTGGTTACTAAAATGGTCTTGCTGACTGCTGTGTTCAGAAGGCCAGCTGGATGGTTATACTCTACTGTTCTTCACCTTAGCACAGGCTTCTTGCTTTGCAGTTCTGCTTGAATTCATTAGGAGCTGTTTTTCTGTTTCTTATATGTGCTTTCATGGTATGAGCAAAATATAGTATGTATCACACTTTCAAAATGTACCTGCAAGAGATGAATGACAAAAACGCATGATATCTTTCTTCTGGCTGTGGGACTCCCCTGTTCATTGCAGGGGAGTTGCACTACATGATATTTAAAGGTTCCTTCTAACTCAAGTGATTCTGTAGTTTCTATGATCTTCTATGTCTAGGAATAAGCATGGCAGTGTTTAGCCCAGTGGGATGCAGTATATATTTATATACTGTTATAATGAACAAAATGCTGCTGGAGTGCAGGTTAAAGAAGAGAAACTTCAGAACTTCCCGAAGTCTTTACCATAGCTCACATACTTCAATCTTGGAGGAAAAAAAAAAAGTTTACAAGACAGTCTTCCATATAAAATACAGAAAGGATTTTTCTTAAATATTTGGCTCTGTGCTATAATTTGAGGGAAGGAGTAATGTAAACTGAAAAACTCAGCCTGCAAGCAAGTGACCTAGATTGCTTTCAAAAAGAGTTTGGGAGGATGGCAGAGCAGTGCCTTCTCTTAGGAAAGCTGTGGGTATCTGGGTGCTGTCAGCTGTGTCCTGGGGCCGGGGTGCCAGACAGATGTGTGTGTGCTTGCTGTGCTGAGCAGTGGCTGGCTGAAGCTGACCAAGTGCTGTGCTTGTGCTGCTAGTGGGCTGGAAAGCTGTTTCCAGTTGTTTTGCTATGTTTGTTCCTCAAAAAGTGCATGTGCCTGATCAGATCAGTGATACTGAATTTTAATGCTAACTATTCCCTTTTGCAGGACTCAAATCTTAGTATTTTAGGAAGAGTGTTTCTAGTCCTGCTACAATTAGTGCTTTCTTTTGCCTTCCACTATTTCTTTTATTCTCTGGGTTTCTTTTACCCTCAGCTATGTTTATTTCAGCCTTCATTGCTGTACCACATGCAAGAACACATGTAAAGCAATCTGTGTAGTGTTCTTCAAGGATCCTTTGATATGTTAAAATAGATCCTAGTTAGTGTGTGCAGATGTGACCGGCTGGTTCTTCATGCCTTGCTTTTTGCAACAAAGAGAGGGCTGTGCACTCCAGAATGTAAACAATGTGTAGTTTTTTAAACAAATTCAAATTCTACTCTCTTCAAAATCTTTCTGATACAGCTATGAGTAGTTAACGTTTAGTGTTACTCTTCTTGCCATGCTGCAGAAATCAAGTTTAGTACAACTTTGTTTCCTTTACGCGTTGACAAGTTAGTATGGTCTGTGCTCTCAGCCTTCCTCCAAAAATGCACATGATGAAGCTGTTTAAACAAAACTATTCCCAAATGCTGCTACTTTTTTGTGAGCTATCAGTGTCAAGTAGAAGAAGCAGGTTTCTGTGCTGGCAACAATTGGGATGTCATTTTTGACTTTGGAATACTTTGCTGTGGAAACAATATTGCTATAGACGTGGCACAAAACAAGCTTGAGATAAATCATGTATGTACACAAGTCTTAATGGATTAAATCTTAGAGTACACAGATCTTAATGGATTACTTTTCCATTGCTGACTTTCAATTAAGAACACCAGCTTCCTGTTTTTCTTCTTCTGAAGTCCTGTCCATCTGAGCTCTTAAAATTTCTAAAATAGCCTGTCAAAACAAGAATTCAGTGAAGTGACTGGAAAGTGACTTCTACTTAACCTTTCATTTTATAAACAATTGGCTGGGCTGTAAATAGTTGAAAACAGTCTATATTTAGGTCCTAATTTAAAGAACTGATATTTCCACATTTGCTTTGTCATAACTGGTAGTTGCTAAATTATGAGAGCTCATAGCTATTACAGTTGCTTGGAGGATCGCTGCGTGTTCTGCCATAATGCATTCAGAAGCTCAATGCATTGTGCATTTAAATAAGGCAGTCTAGCAGCTAGCATAGGCACTGAATTACTTCAAGTCTCAGTGACTGTCTCAAGCAAAAACTATTGGCTTTTTGGAAAATAACTGAGAAGGACAGTGGAAGTACAGCAGACTTCAAAAAGTCACAAATGCACTAAGGGTGAGCTGGGAGACTGCAGATGCTGCTTGCCTGCTCTGTTGTGATGAAAAGGAAAATCTTGCTCAGAATGACTGATCAGTCATACAAGGTTCAAATAGTTTTTGAAGAAGGTCAGACATTGACCCTGGTTAGACAGTAAGGCAAACTTCTGTAACTGTGGTCTTAGCAAGAAGAAACAAGATGGAGAAGTAAAAAAAAGCAAAGTTCGTTATCTTTAGAAATTGCTAATGTTTGTACTTTACTAATGTCAAATATCTCATTGGTTGGTATCGGGACCTACACCATACAGCATCTTTGGCGGCAATGCAAACAATGGGGCTGGGTGCACCCTCAGCAGGTTTGCTGACAGCACCAAGTTTTGTGGTGTAGACAATACAATGGAGAGTAGGGACCTGGCCAGGCTGGAAAGGTGGGCCCATATAAACTTCATGAAGTTCAGCAAGGCCAAGTGCAAAGTGCTGCACCTAGCTTAGGGCAATCCCAAGCACAGATACAGGCTGGATGGAGAATGAATTGAGAACATCCCTGAGAAGATGGGAGTTGGAGATGTTTGATGAAAAACGCACATGGGCTGCAGTGTGCGCTTGCAGCTCAGAAAGCCAACTGTATCCTGGGCTGCACTGAAAGAAGCATGGCCAGCAGAGTGAGGGAGGTGATTATCCCTCTCTACTCCATCCCCTTGAGGCCCTACCTGCACCACTGTGTTCAGCTCAGGGGTCCCCAGTACAGGAAGGACTAGGAACGGTTGGAACAGAGGCTCTGAAAATGATCAAAGAGCTGGAGTGCCTCTCTTGTGAAGAAAGGCTGAGGGAGCTGGCTTGTTCTGCTTGCAGAAGGCTCTGGGGAACCCTCATTGCAGCCTTCCAGTACTTGGGGGAAACTTAGGAGCAGGAGGGCTGACTTTTTACATGGTCTGATAGTGATAGGAGAAGGGAGAATGGATTTAAGCTAAAAGGGAAGATTTAGATTGGATGTGAGGTGGAAATTATGAAGAGGGTGGTGATTGCCAGATAGCTGTGGGAGCCCCATTCCTGGAGGTGCCCAAGACCAGGCTGGTTGGACCCTGGTGGGGGTAGCCTTGCCCCGGGCAGGAGTAGGGGCTGGGTGGGCTTTAAGGACCCCTCCAACCTAAACTGTTCCACAGTAAGGTATCTTCTGTGCTTTCCCACATTAAAAATAGCCTTTTTAAGATTTCAAAATGGAGCTACATATTGCAGTAAGTGGTGGAAATTATGTTGTAGCTGGTACTTTTTGACCCCTGTGTTAGTGTGTTTTACGGATTAGTGTGTTTATGTAGTTGTTCTCCAAAAGCTACTTGTGAGGTAGAACACTTTGTTTGCTTTTTTGCTTTTACTGTCATTTTGTGTTGTTAGCTATTAAAAGGAGGAGGAATACTACCTCAAACTGAACCTGAAGGGTCTGAAGAGTTATATAATTACTTTGCCTCTCTAACGTAACACCGACTTTCTTTTTCAGAGCCATGGTGTCATGGAAAGGAATATACTTCGTAGTTGCACTGTTTTTGGGAAGTTTTTTTGGAAGTATTTTCATGCTCGGTCCTTTTCTACCTTTGATGTTTATCTCCCCGGCCTGGTATCGCTGGATCACTGACCGCGTTGTGGCCACGTGGCTCACACTGCCAGTGGTAAGTTACACTGTGAACCAAGTTCCGAGCAACTGTTCGTTTTGCTTACTAATGCTTTTTTTTATAATTTTTTTTTTAAACAGACCATAACTTTCTTAACCATCTATGAAAGGTAATATTTTAGCTCAGTGAATGTTGGCTGTATTCCTGCCTACAGTCTCTCTCTTCTACAGCTTAATGTATAGATAAATTACTGCTGTGTGATGATTGTACTCTTGAAAAGGTATTTTCATGTTATCTCTATCCATTGTCAAATGCTGATTGGAGAAGGGTGGGTGAAACACTAACAAGCAAAAGGTTCTTTTAAATTGCAGAGATTCCTAAATGACTCTTCTTATAAACTTCTGCTTCCAACTGTGCTCCAGCTATCTAGTTACAGAAATTATTTACTGTATGGTACGCTGTTGCTGACCTTCGCTGTTCTCTTACTTAATCCTCACAGAATTTAGTTCATCTAATTGTATTAGACAAATGGTCTCAGGTCAAAAAGAAGAAATTCCTTTAGAAATAAAGTTGTCCTCACATTGCATCAACTTTGTAGCTGGGGGTCTCCTCTTTGAACTCTTCCTGTAGAAAGGTGATGTGCGTAGGGTCTCTCTCTTCCTCTGTTCTCCAGAAATCAAGGGACTTTGTTCCTCTGCCTTTTAAGATTTGTTTTTCTGGAATAAGATACTATACTGGTGCTCAGAAATGCATATCTTGTGACATAACTGTAGGTTTGTTACATATCAGATTGTGGGTTTTTTTTGTTCTGTTTGTTTTGAAGGGTTGCGAGGTGCTTCATCTTCTAATATTTTGCCCTTTTCTCCTTTACTAAATGCAATGAAATTAGGAGGTAAGCAATAATTATCAGTGAAGAGAATATAGGGACTGTAATTTCTTGCTGTGATGAAATATAGGTGAATACTGATAGTGTCACAAGCTTGATCCTTGTTGAAAAGCTGTTTTTTTATTAGGAAACAAATTTGTTTACCACTGATAGTGAGTGTGAACAAATGAAGTGATGTCACTGAGATTAATTTGCATTGATGATAGACTGTTGCTTTTCTTCTGTGAGTAAAGTCATAAAACTAGATGTATTATTTGTAGGCTTTGCTGGAGATGGTGTTTGGTGCCAAGGTGGTTGTCACTGGTGATGGATTTGTTCCTGGAGAAAGAAGTGTCATTATCATGAACCATCGCACACGAATGGACTGGATGTTCCTGTGGAACTGCCTGCTGCGATACAGCTACCTCAGACTTGAAAAAATCTGTCTCAAATCCAGTCTCAAAAGCATTCCAGGATTTGGTAGGTCACTAAATGCTTTAATTGGAAGGGAAGATCTGTTCAGAAATTCTTTTGCGCGGCATTGTTTATGCCCAAGTTTGAATTCTTTTTCAGTTTTTTTAAAACCTTCTTTTAAATGTATGTAGTATACAAGATCTTTTGTCTCAAGGGGATTCTTGGACTGCATGCTTAAGCATTTATTTGTAAAAATATTGCTACTTTATTTACTGAAAGTAAATTTCAAATTGTAAATTTGATAATTTCAGAATTATAAGAAAAGATTTTTAAAATTCTTTTCACGGTCTTTTTCAACACTTTAGCTTTGGTGGTATATCCTCCCATGCTGTATGTCTCACTAGTCCTCTTTCTTCATTATCCAGTTTATACTATTGAGAAGATTAGTAAATAGGAAAAGCCCCACAGGGCCCCTGCAAAGTTGATAGTAATTTCAATAGCTGTGATTTTAAAATGAACTTGGCTGCCCAAAATATACTGTGCAGGACATGAAATAATTAGTATTTATAGTGGCATAGGATGGGAACGGATCTGAGTTGTACATACTCAGAGAAACCATTTTAGATATGCCAAAAATTGCTGCCTAAATGGTTTCTGAACAAATCAACAAACTTATCTGAAATAAAAGCATCCCTTTTGCATTATATTTATCTCTTAGATTTATTTGCTGTTTTATACAAAACCAGCTTGGGCAGGACATGAGTCAACTTTATCATGTTGAAAGAGTAACCTTATTTATGGTTCCCTTTTGTCAGGTCATTTATCTGAGCAGATAATTCTGGCAGAATTCCATAAGGAGGAACTCTCATACTGTTGTGCTTATACTGCATTCACTTGCTGGGTATTTAGTCCTAAGTAAGAGATGCAGCTAGGTAACCCACTTTTTTTCCTAATATTCAAACATGGTCAGTTTTACTTGATGAAAGACATCTCCTCTAGCATTACAGGAAATGAGAAAATATGTATTTAGATAAATGTTTTCAGAACACAGTGGAGATGTTTTGAAGTCTTGGAATTGGCTGCATATGCAACTTTTAAAAGAAATATTGGAAGATGGAATCCAGGATAATACTCTGCAAGTCTGATAGATTAATCTCTTCAAAAGAAGCGTGTTTTTGTATTTTTTTTTGTAACTAAGCATGTGTGTGCCTGCTTAGTATTAGAATGCCTTTAATAAAATTCAAAGGTCAGCTCAAGAGTCTGGGATGTTATGTATGCCTGGCAAAATTTGGCTCCTGAAAATGCCTCAAGTTGCTCAGCAGTTTTTCAGTCCTCAGAACATAAAGTTAACCTATCTAAGAGATGTGATGAATGAGCTCTGGCAAATACAGTTGCAGCAGTCTTAGCTGCTCACAATAACATCTTGGTTCAAAGTCTGACTTAGATGCTTAAGCTACTACTGGCATTCTGGATTTGTGCTCCATATTGTAACTGTGGTGACTGAGGTGGTACAAACAGATACTTCTGTTGTTCTTGTTATGGGATGACAGTTCCTGGCAGTAGAGTGGATGCCTGGATCTGTAGTGTTATGCACTGCTAGTTACGTGCCAAATCCCTAAATCTCCTCTGTAGTATATGTGCTTTGAGTAATTTTGATTGCAGTGTTGAGTATTTTAGCTTAATTTTTAGTAAACTATTAATCTCATTTATCACAGGAGTAAACTCATCCAAACCACATCCTTAACTCAAGCCATAATCTGATAGTCTAAGTCATGAATGATAAGCATCTATTCAACTGCAGTATATCTAAAAAGAGGCCTTAGAAATTCAAGTCTCCCTATTCAGTTGACCTGTATTTGGGGTAGCAGATTCTTGCAAAAATGAAGTATTCCCAATAGAGGGCAACTAGAAGGTGAGACTCTTGGATTAAATGAAGTTTGACAAAAGATTTCATTATGGAATTATGTTTGGGGTGGATGTTGATGCAGAAAATGGTGTCCATAAAGAACAACCTGCTGTAAAAGTAGAGTTTCTCCTACTTACCTCTAATGGCACTTCTGCGTTATGTGATAGACCTTCAACAAACAACAGCATCTGACAAATGCCTACTGAAGTGTGTTCTGTGGTTTTTACATAAACATTTTGCTCATTTTATAAGTTTTAAGGCCAGAACATAGCTTAAAAATCAGGTGGACAGTTTCAGTGCACTGCAGCTATGATTCATACATTAGGTATTGATCATTAAGGTATGTATGAGATTCGCCTGCTCCAAGTGATGTAAACGGTAGGTAGAGCAAGGCTGTGAATGGAAATAGATCCAGAGTCCTTGTCACCTCCTTTGTAGGTGAAAAGTGTAAAGGTATCGTATTTAATAAGTCTATATTGCAATTATTTCCAGTTAGTTATAATTAAAATCAGAAGAGAGTATTTCAAGGAGAAGCATAGAGTCACTTATCTAGTTGTTAAGTTATTAATTCTTTGCATTCCAATATATCCAAGAACTTTAACTTGATTAAATGTGAGCCTTAAATAAAGAAACCCAGCAGAAAAACAGATGGGCCTTTCTTCCTGGAACCATACCTTTGGCTTGATGGATTGTGTGCAGTAAAGTTTTTGAAAAGTGGTATTAAATTTCAGAAACATTCTTGCAGCATTTCAGTACAACTTGCCCAGGCTGGAGTCTCAGGAGAGCACTGCTCTGCTCTGAGCTGTTGCTGCAGTTTCTCATGTGACATCATCAGCAATTACTGACATACTCTGCAATGTCAGTTTTCAAGGAGAATTTCTAATAGCGTTGTCAGTTTCCTGCACAGCTGACAAGATAGGACTTTTCTACAATTATAGATACACACAATTTATATTTTCCATTAAAAAAAGAATAGCAGAGGAAGTGATAGAGGTTGTGATGCTCTTGTGTTCAACATATGCTATGGAATACATAATGTCCAGGTAGGTTCCAAGGAGCATAATGACAGATGACCAGGAAATGACTAAGTGATGAGTTAGTTGCATCTTTTCATGTTTTCTTCATAGTTTAATTTGTACAAGTCTTGATTTGATAGGAATTTCAAAGGAACTAGAGATGTATTTCAGTGATTGGCAATTTGAATGTGCTCATTGTTGTAGGATATTTAACTCTTGGTGGACTTGCAGTAATACATTGATGTTAGTGCCTAAATATGCCTCAGCATTTGTCCAACAAAAATCAATTAGTTTTTCATTACATTTGATCGCTCTCAGATAAATGGGTTGAAAAATGAGAGGGTAACTAGGGGTAACATAACAGTTCATGGCTGCTGTGTGAGATAATGTTCCTCCTGGTTTTGCTTAACAGAATGGAAAAGATAACATAGTATCTGAGTGCACAAATGGAAAGCGTGAAGGTGCTTTAAGCACCGCTGATGGACAGATCTTGAAGACTTAACATTTTTAAAAAATGTTTGCTGAGACTGCTAAGCCTGGAGTGTATTGTGGCAGAAAAGGTCAAGGCGATAAAGGAAAAAAAGCAACCAATAAAATAAGCAAAACTAGTAAATCTAGAGTAGTTAGGATCAGAGTTAACTGTCTAACTGCCCAGATCTTCATCTCTGTATGCAAGCAATTGTATGACTAATATTGCTCTTACATAGACTGTAGGATGATGGAGCTTTTTGGTTATTTACCACTTGTCTATTCACTCAAGTTTGTAACTCTCAAAGGCTCAAGTTAGATTTGGCCCTTGTTTTGTTAAGGGAAGAAGAGGATTTGTGATCTATTTCAGCATTAGACTTAGCCCCACTAGTATTCTTCTTCACGTCAGTGGATCCATTATAGCTGTCCATGTGTGTGAGCTTAGCCTAAAGCAAATTCAAAGTAATTTGAGCCATCTTAGTTTTCAGCGAAGCAGGACAAAACAGCTCCAGTTATCCTGCCTTTGCCATGGGCTAAGAGCATACATACAGTCAGTTGTATGTATGTGATGGATCGGCTATCTTGAAGTAAAATATCAGTGTAGCTAAGATTACAAAATATTATCAGTTAACTCGACCAAAGTATAATTACAGCAGAACGCTGCAAGGAATCTGTACACATTCATATTGGCAAAGTGCTTGTGCTGCTTGCAGCTGCTTCTGTAGGTGAGATTGTAAATACTTCAGCATAAAGCGTCTTTGTTCAAGTTACAGTAGATTGGCATTCAAATTCTTATCAATGGAGCATACTGGTTTTAAAAATTAAAACTATAACCTATTTAACTTTCTAGTATAGCTCATGTTTCAGGTATCTTTGTTATGATAATATAGACTGAAATTAGAGTTTTGAGATGTGGCATTTTATCTTGTGGCAATTCAATTATGAGCTGCCCGACTTGATTACTTTCTAGTTTTTATCCTAGGTGATTTGAAAGTGGAATTTAGAGAGTATGTTCTCTAATGGAAAGCACAGTTGTTATTCACGGGTGTATGCAGCAATGGGAGATCCTCTTGCATTCCTCTAGAGATTCCTGCAACCTCTACTCTCTTTTCTTCTCTGAAGTGACTGGATACCAATGCATGTAGCAGGAGGAATAATCAGGAAGAGATAGAGATCAGTGTGCAGCTGGAAGATCATGACCTCACTGCAGTCACGGAGACATGGTGGGACGCGGTAGTGGAGTTGCTCTTTATGATGACCTGCTGGAGATGAGCTCTGTGGAGAAGGATCTCGGGGTTGTGGTGGGCAACAGGTTGGCTATGAGCCAGCAGCGTGCCCTGGTGGCCAAGAAGGCCCATGGAATCTTGGGGTGCATTAAAAAGAGCATAGCCAGTAGGTCGAGTGAGGTGATCCTGCCTATCTGTGAGCCACATCTGGAGTGCTGTGTCCTCTTCTGGGCTCCCCAGGTCAAGAAAGACAAGGAATTCTAGAGGAAGTCTGGTGGAGGGCCACAAAGATGGTTGGGGCCTGGAGCATCTCCCTGACGAGGAAAGCTTGAGAGACCTGGATCTGTTCAGCCTGAAAAAGTCTGGGAGGAGATCTTATAAATGCTTACAAATACTTAATGGGCAGGAGTCAAGCAGATGGGGCTGGGCTCTTTTCAGGGTAACGGGCAC